TGTTACACTTTAAAATGAACATCTCATTTAATTTAGGACCCTAGTTCTAATGGCAATTTGATACAAGTCATTAAAAGATGTAAACAGAAATGCTTCAAGCACGTTCTTCTTTGAAGCAAGGGTAGATTGACTTGATTTTAATTATAGAATAGCAGTTAGCTTTATATGATTTTCTCTTACACAGACACACACACACATAAGGTCTGAATTCCTTGTCTGGATCTATCCTCTTGCTTTAAAATAAACGAACTAGTTTCCTTTATAGGAAAACACAAAGTGGGTCATCCACAAAGTCTGTGATCTTCCCCTGGAAGGAAGCCACCGTCAGTCCCAGGACACCAGTATATTCAACACCATTGCGCTGTCAGAGTTCCAATGTTCTCCTCTGCTACCTCCCACCTCCTACCTCCCAGCACCTCAGCGGGAAGGACACATCTGTGAATCCTCTGGCACTGCTTCAATTCCTTACAGCTGTACAAACCACTGCATGGAAAGAAAAGAACATTTCCTAGACTGGGAATCCCCAGACACTTTCCCAAACTGAGCAAGTGAACAGAGTTTTTGCTCTGGTGAATTATAACCCATTACGGAGAGTGCAGAGAAGAAAACAGTCCTGAGATGACTGTGGTCTGTAAATGTCTGGGCTTCACTGCGGTTCACATTCATTTTTCTGACTTTTCTGAAATGTGGACCTGCCCTGATTTAAGAGTCCTGCTTTGATGGCAGCTTATATGTACTTGCAACTATTTCATCCAAGATTTGGATCTGAGTTAGGGAAAAGCCCACTGCTGGTGTTTCATATACCAACCCAAGGTATGTGAGGCCTTGTCTTTCCCCTGTTTGGTCCACACAGTCCAGCCCACCTCAGAACCTCTCTCTGGGCCCAAGGCTGCCCACAGCTGGTCTCGGCAGTGTGGCCTAAGTCAGAAGTGGGGAGTGTATGTGGTACTGGCCACTGAGGCTGTCAAGGGAGACTTTCTGTGGGGGTCTACCTATTCCTCTTTGATTTCTCGGAGGCATCCAATAAACAAGTGGAGAAGGGCAACATGAGACTAGGAGAGGGAGGTGGAAATGAGAAATGAGAAAAAAGACATGAACACACTCAACACTTTCTCCTCAAGGGAGTCCAGATTTGAATCCAAAAGTAATTCAAATGATTTCACATTAATTTTTTCCACAGCACTACCTCTCTGAGAGCTACCAGCAATTTCTCTGTAACACACCAGTGAAGGATAATGCAAAAAACAATTAAAGGGGAATTATTATCTATTTTAACTACAAATCAATTAGCAATTCTATGACTTAAGACATGTTTATCAATACAGCCTGTTAAAATTTTTATATGATTTCATCATGAAATGATTTTGTACCCAAATGTATTTAATTAATTCAAATTACGCTGATCACCGACTTTAAATATTACATTTTTATACCACATGAGGCCCTGATGGGCAGAACTGGGTTGTGAAGAAAAACTTAGCAAAATTTTTAAAGTGTCCCAAATGAGAAAAAAGAGTATTGGCTACAGGTAGACATTTCTTAATTATTTTTAAAGTGTTTTCAAGTTTTTAGACAATGGACAGCTTACCATTAAAAATGTTAAACTGGGTAAAAGACCAGAATGAAGTAAGACTTTTAAATGCTAGCCATCTCAAAAGTCAACTCTGAGGGAAATCAGAATGATTATCTTGACATTATAAGAATAGCTATCTCTTATTTATAATAGAGTTTGCCCTGTAGATTTGTCATTAGATTGAAGAAACCCAAAAAGGGCAACATTTCCTCAGAGAAGTATCTTCTTCATTCCCTCCCTCCTCTATGCTACCAACACGGTGATGGTTGGAAGTTTCCATTTATATGTTATGCAACTTTATTCTTTGTCCTTAGAGGAAAATACAGATTTTTGGGGGAAGGGTGTGGGGAAAATGAAAGCAATCAAATTCATTTACAATTTACATCTATGACTTTCCATGATATCAGGGCAAATCAATCTCTTTAGTCCTGCAATGAGCACTAAGAAAGGTCACAGCTGTTGTCAGCACTATGCTTTCAGGTTTACTTTAGAAATTCCACCAATTGCATCAAATAATACAGGCAAAATTTTACCTATGTGGAATGTCATGTGATTGCTATCTTTATTCTTTTTAGTATTATTTAAGTGTCCTGCAAAGAACATGTATTATTCTTATAAGACAAAAACAACATGTTTTTTAAAAAGGATTGCAATGCAATCTTCACTTACACTATCTCATTCAGCATCATGAAAAAGAAACTGATCATTTTAAAATTGTTCCATGGATTCATCAGCGAGAATCTATCTAATCAGTTCTCCAAGTTGACAGCAGAAGATACTGACAATCAGTAAGTGGCCGAGCTGGGGCAAAACTGTCCATAGGAAGTAAGGGACACAGGCCAAAGCACACTGTGCGGGTTCTGCCCGGCTACTGTGTGCTGCTGGGGCACTGCCCATTGTTCTCGGTCCCGAGAGGGACAACCCGGCTACTGTCATACTGTCTGAGACTCAGCTAGCTACCAGAACCTCACAGGTAGAAAGTGGTAGAGCTGAGACTAGGTCCAACTTGGTATCACCTGACACATTCTCTGCTGTTTCCTAAAGCCTCCCTACGGTGTGGTCCTCACTGGAGGTCCCTGAGTACAGCATTACCTTTCTGTGTTGACCTTCTTTGTTTTCTCTTTCCTGCCACATGTATGCTTGGAAGAAAGGAAGAAACCCAAGATTCTCCCAACATGGACCATCCTCACTTGAAAATGCAGGAAGACGCACTCTCAGAGGGGCAGTGAGATTATCAGCAGAGTGGTGACAGGCAAGATGGTCCAGCTCTACCCTCTGAGCCCTCTGCCTCTTTTGGGAAGGAATGCCTGACACAGAAGGGTGCTCTGCCACTCCATGGTGCGCAGCAGAACACGAGCTCACCTCCCACCATATCCCACCCTCCAAATATCAGTGCACAAACATTCCGAGAACATGCTCCCCTGCTCCCCAAACTTGGCACATCAAGCCCCTTTACCCACACAAGTGTCCTCCACTCAGCTGCTGGCGCTGCTAGAGCTGCTGGAGCACCTTGGAAAGCAAGTGTCTGCCTGGCCACCTAACAAGTCCAGTTCTCTCTGTTCATGTCAAGGTCATTTCTCACAACCTCTGCCAAGGCAATCATCATCTTCCTGTTTGCAGTCCAGAAATCATGATACGAAATAAATGACCAAACGGAAAGGAAATAGAAATTGGCAAAAAGGGACTAACCTCTGTAGGCCTGCTCTCCAGTTTTTGTTTTTGATGCATTCCTTTGAAATGAAATAAAAAACAAAGGTGTAGACTGCTGGGGCCCCAGAAATACAGCCTTTCTGTTCTATTTTTGATAGAGAAGAGTCCAATCCAAATCTATGACTGGAGTAATGGAACTTCCAGAAGAGTCCTTAGACTTGTTAATCATTTAATTAATAGTAGAAGAAACTGTAGCATCCAACAATTGCAGTTCTATAAAGACAGCTCTCACTGTGTGTGAACATTAGGTTAAGCACATGCATTTATGTCCATACTCTCACTGAATCTGAATTACACCTCTTCAAGGTAGGTTCTTTAATTATTCCCATGTCACAGATAAGCAGACTAAGATTTAGAGAATTTAGATATAATTGCTCAAGGTTGTAGAGCTGGGCTGGATTTTTAGCCTTGGGAAACCACAGAGTTCTTAATTGCTGTGCTCTCGCTTCCCACAGACCTTTGAGTGACAGGTACTTAGATTCCAAGTGAAGCCTGGTTTGTCTGTCCAGCTGCATAGCTCACTCTAAAGTCTTACATTAATATCTTTCCATTTCAGTGGATGAGGGCAGGGTCAATCTGGGGGTGGCACAAGGAGGAGAAAGAAGGAAACCCAGAGAACTCAAATCTTAACAGGAAAATGGCTTGAAATAGCTAAATGTGTGAGTTGGAGCCAAATAGTTTGGCAGATGCAGCCATGTTCAGGGATATGTGATGACAGGGACAGTCCTTTTTCCACTCCACTTTGAGCTGTCTTTACAGAACTTTATCTTTTATGTCCAAAGATCAAATGAAAAAAAAAAGATCACACTTAGTGAGAACTAGAGGAAATAAACTGGTGGCAGTTAGAGAGTAAAAATAACTTCTCTGTGGCTTTAGACCACAGGAGTTTTCTCATTTTAAGAGGCACAGGCAAATCGCTTAAACAAGGCCTTTGGGCTGTGTTCGTCTCATGTTTCCTCCCACACCCATGGCGGTTAAAGTTTTAGACAGTCACAGCTCTAACCTGTGGAACCGTATAATAAATGGAAGCACAACCAGGCCAGACTCATCAACTCACAAATGCAACCATACTACAAATCCAGTCTTCTTTTTAACCAGTTGTTCTGTATGGAAGGGGGTTAGAGAAGGTTATGAAAACCCATAGCCTTAATGAGAGAACTTCCTCCATCCTCAAGCTCTGTTTCTAACCTCCTCTGACTCTGGACACAAAGTCTCATAGTTGGCCAAGATTCAGTGAATCCTCACCTCGCTGCCTTGTCCTCCACATGCAGGTTTGTCTGGGCTAGATAATGAGGCCCACCAGAGCTCTTCCTCAGACCTAGGGTGACCAAGCCCACATACACCCAAAGACAGCCAGAGATTTGGGGTTCCCACCTCTGCCTTATACTACTATGGTTTAGACCAGAATTTGGGAAGCACTCCTTGATCTTAGAGTCAAGCTAACATCTGGAAAAAACCTAGGATGACACCAACTTCCTAGCACACCTGCAGACACAAAACTGAATCACCTAAGGAGACTCTCTGAAACACTCCCTGCAATTTCCTATCTTAAGACACAATGCCAGACAAGTAAAAATGGGATCGGTCTCAAGATGAGACAGACAGAGTGTTTACCCTGTCCTTTTATGTGCACCAAGAGATTTCATACACTCTGGTCCAAGGTCAAATGTATCCTTTGTTAGTAACCCAAACCCATCCCCCAGACCACTGCACTTACCGGTAGAAAGTGGCATAGTCGACAGTTGAATGGCAGGCCTGAAACTCCCAGGATTTGAGTTTCTGGCATTCCCGATGGGCTCGGAGCTTTACCTTCACTGTTCCTTGACAGAGTTCAGGCACTGGTTTTCTCTGGGGTCTATTGCAGAACTCATTGGACTCCACCCTCCAGGACTCGGCAAAGTCATCCACATCAAACTTGAAGTTTCCATCTCCACCAATTAAGTCATCACGCTTATGTCCATTGTAGTTGCCACAAAGACCACAGAGTCTGCCCTTGAGATGGGGGGCAGCCATGACTTCCACAAAACTGTCTCCATCCCAGGATATTTCCAAACCTAGAGGCAAAGGAGAAGAAAAGGGGATCAACCACTCTCCTTTCTTGGAGAATACTAAGGGCCTGTCCACATTCTCACTTACCTTTAACCTCGCCACGTTGAATGTTTTGTGATATCACATGAATCACCTACTTTTTGGGACTTAGAATTTTTAAATTATATAAAGTTTGCCTTTATAATGACATTTTATGTACCCTGGTTTGACTTTTAGATTTGACTCACTGACAATGTTACTCGAGGGTTTATGTTTTTACCTTTTTGCAGAATAATAGTGTTGGTTTAATTTGTGCTTTCATTTATCCAATGACTACTATAATAAGGAAATGGCAAGGTAACAAAGATGATAGTTTTTTAATGTAATTTTTTCTTTATCCCCAAATCCCCTCTATGATTATACCAAATGTCAAATGAAAATTTCCAAATTATTTGCTATCATTGACAGTATTAAAGGAATAAATACATAGCTCTGAATACATGCTCTTCAAAGAACAACACACATATGAATGAAAACTTTTGTTCCCTCATTATTTTACCTTCATCCCTGAGACATGCACAACTGTTTAATCAATGTTTCCTAGGGTTGAGTTGTAAAATCCTTCCAACCTTTGCCGCTCCAAGCTGTGGCCTTGATCCCTGGGCTAATCATAATCTTCAGTATTGGAGGCTATCAGGCAATGGGAAAACCTTCCTCATGTGCTGGGTGTCAGCAGCACAGTACTGTGTGGTTCACCAAGTAAATGATCTTCACTCCAGAATGCAGAGAATGTAGGTCCCTCATGGTTTACTGAACTGACCATCTAAAATATTGAAGAGTTTGTCTGAAAACATTTACATTTCTCCTAATACACAGGCCCAAGGCTTCTAGGACCCACTCTAGCCAATGACTCCACTGAACTATAGAATTTCTATGTCACATGTAGGACAGCCACATTTGCTGTCACACAGCACAGATCAGTAGATCAGTTTGACTAGTATGACTAGCAGGTCAAAGGAAATGTTCTCATATCCATCCTGATACTGTTTGTGAAGATAGTGTCCATAAGATAAAGGAGAGGACTTTACGAAAAGTCTTCTGGGGTTCAACCCAGAGCAAATAACAAACACTTCTGGTCAGAGTGTTTCTTTATGTTTCAAGTGTGTACTGAAAACTTTTCTTACTATTCTCCTAGGAATACTCTGGCAGTGCCTGAGCCCTCCAGGGAAGGAACAAACTAGGTACCTGTTTTATAGCATGAACACCAACAGAATACCTACAACAGGTCAGCGTACATTTCTGCCCTAGGATGCCTCCTTATTCACTGTCACTCTCTCCTAAGATTGACAACCTATAAAGTCTCTTTTTAACAGAAAAAGAATAGGTTTCCCCATGTGTGTTTTTATCTTACACTCTTGGGTTTCTGACAAAACCTAGTCTTTTGTTTAGTCTATTCTGTGCCTCTGGAAAAAGCAGCATGACTTTCCTCCTAGAAGACTTTGCCTTTGTTCCTGAAGTATCGAGATTAGGCCAGTAAGCAAATGTTCAGACGATTCAAAGAAGTTAGAGAATAAAGTGATGAGAGAAAGAAGAAAGTGGGGTCAGGGTGGGGAGAGGGAATGGATCTTGTCTGGATATAAAATTGGCATAAGGCAACATCAGAGTGATGTAAGATCAGTAAGAAATGCCCAGAAGTAAGATTTGAAAGTTACTATTCCCTCAGTCTGGAGATGGTCCAAGAGTTCAAGAGAAGGCTGGCCAAGGAGCATTCCTGTGAGTAGGCCACACAACTGCCACAAGAAAGAGTTATAGATCCACTATGGGGAGAGTTATTGGTAGAATAAACCAGTGGTCTAAAACTGGATTTCTCAAGAAATAAACAGAAAGGCCCATGTGGAAATCACTGTATGGTAAGTAGAAAGGAAAGAAAGCATTCTTATTCCAAGGCCAATGGTAGAGATTTCTTGGTTTGGAGAAGAAAATGGGTTTCTATTTAAGTTTCTAAGTGCTTTTTATTTAAGAAAAGCACTTAAGTAAAGTTGGGTAAAGAAGCAAGAAAGAAGGTTATAAGAAATTCTCTTTTGGAAATAATTCGGTGAAGAAACACAGTGATGGGACGAGGTGATCAGAGAAAGAACACACTGCTAAAATATCCACTCACTGGACCGACCTCCTGTGTGCGGCTCTCTGTGAGAAGACGGTGTCAACTGTGACAACCACAGCTATCATAGAAAATGATTCCTATTTCTCCATACCCCATCATCTAATACATTATCTGGCACATAGCACATACTCACTGAATGAATGACTTACCCTGTATATTGAAACATCAAATCTGCATAGCCAAAGAAATTTTGAATTTCATGCTAGTTAAGACACTGAAATAACAGTTTTGAAAAAAGACAAGCAAACTATAATATGATTTGTAAAACACTCTCTAAGGTATAGAAGAAACAACCTCACAAGCCTGTAGCCAGGCAGCTGCCCAGCAAGAGAAATGAGGGGAGAAAATCAATTCCATATAACACTCTAACTTTTAAAGCATATTTCCAAAGATTTTCCATGTTGCAAAATTTTCCAAACTACAGATCTTTTTCCTAGACAGCAGACAAATACTATTCTTCCAAATGCCACAGTGGCTGAGAGTTTACATCCAGTGGAGTTACAGCATCACTAATGACAATATAATAAATTTGAGACTTTGGGCAACTGAGTTCATGGGAATTCAATTTAGAGTAAAAAAGCCGATCAATGTGTTCTTTCTTTGCAATGGCCTGGTAGTCTCTGCATGCTTAGGAAGATGCAGACCCACTATGTTTTCTGTAACTCTTCTCCAAACACTTGACATCTCAGTCATAGAACATGGTCTCCAAAGTAAGAGAACAATTTCTAATTCATTTTCTTTTCCTCCTCTTTTCTTTGTTATTATTGTATTAAGAGAGTTTTCACGGACCAATGCTATGCTTCATGTTGTGGAGGGATGATTTATTCAACTGCATATCCCTTTGTCCACTGCTAGATCATACACATCTGTGTTTGCATGATTATTTTTACCCTCTACATGAGTAAAATCCATGCAAAGTAAATTACAGTGGTGACAGGCAAAAAAAAATGAGTAAGTTGCAATTGAAGAAATTGCTCTTCCAAATGATTTTTTAAATAGGCATCATATGAGATGAAAACATCATGGAAGTGTTTGAGGGTCTAGGGTTAGTCCTTTCTGCATCTGGGGTGAGTTTCCCAATTTCTCTGCATGGGAAATTGGGTAGAAATAACTGGCAGAGTCAGAGGCCAAAACCGAAGCACATGTCCCATCTGGGGATGTAAGCAGCAGCCACATTCCTTCCACTGGATGAAGCGCCTTCCAATTTTCCCTTCTCACCAGTGAATGTTTCACCAACTTGTTTTTTACTCTTCAAATGTGTGATCTGGCTCCAGACCAGTAGTTTAGGAGTTGTTGGGTTTGTTTGTTTGTTTGGTGGGGAGGGTATTGTTCACTAATTTTGTGGTTGTTTTTGCTTGTTGTGCTCTGAATATTGTTGCTCTCTTTGCTTTTGCTGTTGTCCACTTAAAAGAGAGAAGAGGTGCAAAATCTGTAGCCACACCAA